CTCTAGCTTTACCCTCTGGCCAAATCTGGCCAGGATCACTTGAACACAATCCAGTACCCCACGGTGCATTTTCAGACCAAGCTGTTCCCTTCTCCAGCTGTCCTGCGCAGTCTTCCACATATTATAAACATTTGCATAGTTCTTACAAGACAACCTGTGCTGCTGGAGTGCAAGGAAGTAAAATGATGCCAGTAATGAGGGACTTCTCATTTTCATTACTTCCTCTCCTTCTAATTAAATGTGAGTAATGTTGGCAGTATCACCAGTGCACCAGGCCAGGAATACTCATTGGTGCAGGGCTTCTCACACTGTGGTCCACAAACTATCGGCAGCAACCAAGATAGAGAAAGACAGCCAGAGCTGGACTCTAGAATCAGATTAAACAGGTTCTTGGGGTTTTCCCCACACAGATCCTGCTGCATTCACTAGTGCTACCTGCCACTTCCTTGGCTCTGTGTTTCCATACATTTCAGATTTGCACTTTGTGTCTCACAAGCCAAGATAAAGCACTTCCAGGGCTGTATCTGCTGTGAATTTTAATACGGACCAAATGGCAAAAGAAAGCAAAGTGCCTTGTCTCACCTCTTCATCTAGGAAGGTGGAAAGCAGAGCTCCACCTGCTCATTTCAGCCCCAGTGTGTCCAGCAGATGGCAACTCCCAAGTTTTCAAGAGGGCAGAGACTATTCCCCTGCATCACTGGAAGCCTACCTGACGAAATTAAGAGATTTCACAGAACTTTTTGAGAGCTTTGACTGCTTTGTAGTGCATACAAATGTATTCTGTTTTAATAACAGAAAGGAGACACATGCACAGAAATAACTAATGGTAAGTTTGACAAATAATAAACTTCTCTGCCTCCTTTCTTTTTGTTGCCATCTCCTCTTTGTAACTAGATTTCTAACAACAGCATTTTTCTATTGAATTTCTCTATTAGTTAAAGCATTACCTGAAGAGTCAGCTACAGCTATTCAGTTATTTGAAGGGCAAACTGCTATCTGTCTAGGTAGTTTTCCCTAGCACAGGATCTAAGGAAAGCACAAGCCACTGGCAACAGAACTACAGTTAGCAAATTTCCTTTTTTAAGTCTTGAAGGTTTGGGAGCTAGACATTGAAACAAGTGGGGATGCTGTGTAAGTCAAGGGGATTAAGGGAATGATGATTTTCTTTCTACAGCACATTTTCAGCTTTTAGGATATATCCTATCTTTTTCACAAAAAAAATTTAAAAAATACGAAAAAAAATATAAAAAGAAGGCACCAGAGCCTTGGATTAAAAGCACAGAAAGAGAAAAGTTTGTTTTACTGACTGTGAAGAAATGCTGGATGTCTGGAGAAGAATGTGGAAAACAAATGTTCTTCCCTGGGCATGTCACAGAGAAATAAAAATATTTCATTATGAGATAAAAATATTCTGCTCTGCGATCATCTGAGGTGATCTTCAGTCTCCAGGGTTCAGCAATTCAACAAATGAAAATCGAAGTCAATAAAAATGAATGAAGCCAGGCAAGTATTCCGTATCAGGTGACAGAAGTTATTTTGGGAGCTTACAAACCAGGGAGTGCAGTGATACAATGATGGCTCATCTGCATCTGGCACTGTTCCAGGGAATGGCCTCTGATGGCAATTCCCATTGGAGAAGTAGTGCTACTCTCGAATATTGTTTTGCCCATGCTGCAGGACCTTAATACCCCAGAGTAGCTGCAAGTGCACCAAGAGCAATTTGCACAGGGCTCCTCATGGAGAAATGAGCTATTTTAGGAGTATCCAATTCTTTTCTCTACAATAATAGCTGCTAGTGTGCTGTACCAATGGACTGATTCAGCATCAACACTGACAAGGTACTTCAGCCTCTGACACTTCTGAAAGAGCTTTGTGCTCCCTTTAACCATCAGAAAGGGGAGGAGAAATTTGCTCTGTTTTCAGTTATATGACAGCTTTTAAAAATTTTACAGCATGAGCACATCACCTAATCCAACAAAGCCTGCCAAGAACATTTAAAATCAAGGTCTCAGAGAATTTGCTTCCTATAAATTCACCAGTATTGTAAGGAAAGGATCTTCTCTTCAGAAAGGCAGCACAAATCCCACTGGAGTTGCACAGGGCTGAGGACTGTTTTCTGCCACACTGTGGGAAAGACAGCTGAAAGTACTGGGAAATAGGCTGCAGGGATGCACAAAATGTACTGGAGTTAATGAATAGGAACAGGAAGAAAAAGATGAAAATATGATTTCTGACAGAAATCAAAGCACTTTCTCAAAACAGAATCAAGAGCAGGAACAGCCTATAATAGCCATTTAATTGATTTAATGTAATGACTGCTCTCAATACATGAAAAATAAATTCATCTTCCTACCTAAACTATTGCCTGTTACTAACTAACTACCTACAGAAGGGTGGAGAGGAAAGGTGGAGCCAGCAAAACTTCCATGAGCATGTATGCAAAGAGAAATCCTATCTTCTTCCAGAGATGCTTTTCCTTTGATTTCACAAAATAAAACATGACAGATTACTGAAAACAAGATGAAAAACAAAACAACGGCATTGTCAACCTGTAATCATTCTAAGATTTCTGATCACTAGAAATTGATTTTTTTTCTCCTTTTACTAAGGAGAGGCTAGGCAGTACTTTTAAAAATCATCTCTTTCCAGTTACTTTCTTCACTGTGAGAAGGTGAAGAGCTGCATCTATTACAACTACATGCTGTGCAAACCTCATTTGGACATGATGATCATCCATCACTCCTGCTGTGCAGGTAGCATGTGAAAGGGAAACAAAACAGAGATCGTGCTGCAGTATTTGACACCACCCACTGCCCTGCTTGCATGCTTCAGTTCACCTAGAGCCCAGCTGCCACACAGGTATTCTCTTTTTGGGACCCCTGCCTTTTCTCTGCCTCCAAACATAGCTTGGAGCAGCTCTGATGGTTTTAGGGGGCAGACAGGAACCTCTCTTTCTCTCCTAAAGCATTAAGGCTTTCCTACTGAAAAAATGCCAAAGGTATATTATTATGTGCAACCCTGCCTTTGTAAATATCCACACCCTGCCTTTGTAAATACACACACATTACTTGCAGCAGTACCTCTTCTCATCACATGGATATGTTTCAATGGAAGATGAATATTGCAAGAGAAATCAGAGTGCCTGTATCCTTTGAGGCTGTGCACAGTCCTGAAAAGAGCTATTAATGCCAGCACCCTACTTCTCTTCTCTAGCTCACACTTCAACTAACTGCCAGTGCTATCTATAATCTCAACCAGGGACAGTCAGTAGAGGCACAAAAATTTAAAAAGCAAGGAAGATAGTGTCTTTTTCAGAAAGCTCTGGAGTAAGCTGCAATAAATATTAGATGATTTTTAGGGAAGCAGAAGCAACCAGAGTTAGCCTTCAAAGACAGAATGCAGCCTTAACAACACTCTTTCTACCAGCTCACCTAGGACGCAAAGAGAGCAGCTTCCTAGTGTTTCACAGCTCTGGTTAGTGCTGTGCCAGTTCAGGGGACTTGCACTAGTAGGTCACATCCTGACTCTTGGTGTGACTCAGGTCGCCAATGCTATCTATAATCTCAACCAGGGACAGTCAGTAGAGGCACAAAAATTTAAAAAGCAAGGAAGATAGTGTCTTTTTCAGAAAGCTCTGGAGTAAGCTGCAATAAATATTAGATGATTTTTAGGGAAGCAGAAGCAACCAGAGTTAGCCTTGAAAGACAGAATGCAGCCTTAACAACACTCTTTCTACCAGCTCACCTAGGACGCAAAGAGAGCAGCTTCCTAGTGTTTCACAGCTCTGGTTAGTGCTGTGCCAATTCAGGGGACGTGCACTAGTTGGTCACATCCTGACTCTTAGTGTGACTCAGGTCAGCAGGAGTTGCCTGCACTTTGTGTTTTCTGATGCACTGCAGCATGCCAGGCTTTGAACAGCTGCACAGCAGCGCACACTAGAGAACAGCTCTCTCCATCTCACCCACAGCCCTCTGAGCCCTCCAGCAACTCAGGAGAGCACAATCAGTAACAGGGCACAGTAACATCCAGCTGCAAACACACACCCCCTCCTTAAGTGCCAGGACAGGAGGGGTGTCACTTCACAATACTCCTTATTTCTGCCAGCATGCTGATAAGCCACTTGGAAGGAACAAGCCATCTAAATGTACCTCCTGAGGATCTTGTAACAGACCTTCCCACGTATGATTCTGGACAAGAAACACTGAACTAGAAATCCTGTCCTACCCTGGCAAACATGTTACTCCCTTTTTTACAGGACTAACAGCATTTGTGACGTGGGACCCCCTCCCCACTGCACTTCTTTAGTCTTCAGCTAGAGCCTACACCCCATCACAGGGAGAGAAGTGCCCAGCCACCTAATTTATTAAAGAGATGATGACACATGTGTGCCTCACAGTGATTTGATGAGCTCCTGGCATAGAACAGCAGCCCCAGAAGCAGAAAGGAGTGCTCTGGTCTCTCTCCACCCACATCTTCAACAGGGAATGGCAATGCCAGGACCCACCACTGACAGCAACAGAGAATGATTACCTAGAGATTCCTGATACAGGCTTTAATGCTGTGATGTACCAAGTGTGCCATCTGCAATAAAGCAACAGATGTAAGCACGTGCTGAACCTTACAACCATGAACGTCCTCAATGATTTCTCTAGGACTATGCATAACTTTTGAAGCAAACACACATAAGAATGAAAGATCAGGGCACGAAAAAGCGTACAGCTCTCACTGAAACAAAGCGATGAAGGCATTCATGCAACTGACCTCTATAAACACACTCTTTTGTCTTCTACCACAGTTCTGAAATGCAGCTGGAGACCAGGAAATGAGAGGGTGAAGAAAACCCCCTGCAGATTATCTACACAAATTAACGAGGCCACAAAAACAGTAGCCTAGGCAGCACTTGGTTCAACTCCTAAGTTGAAAAGCAGCAACAAGTTCACCTTCCATCTCAGTAAACAGACACAAAAACAACCGTTTCACGGTTCCAAGCATGTACTCACCCAGAAGAGAAGGTTGAAAACAAACATTAGGTACTTGATACACTGCAGGCAGTTGTGAGCCATGCTGCACCTCTTCAGTTCTAGGAGAAAAATAAATGAGAGATCCAGGTAAAAGACAACGTACTTGTTTCCCTTGGGGGTCGTGTACTTAGCCTTGGTGGCCTTCGGGCCTGGGTTGGTATGAAATCCAAAAAAAGAGTTGCTGGCAGCCCCAAACTGGCCACCATACATGCTGCTGTATCGACGGAAGGCGCCATTTGGGAAACTGTAATCCTTGCTGTCCAGGGAAGGGCTCCTGTGATAGGTGGACTCATCGGTGCTGGACCTGCGCATGGTGGCTTCAGCTGTCCCGTTCCTGCTGCTCTGACAGCCGTCAGGTGAAAGATGGGTGATCTTCCTTCCTCCTCTTCCTCGCTAGGAATCCCCTATTGCTTTGCACCAGCTGTTCTTTCGTCTGCCATCCTGCCAAGGAGTTACACGTGCTGTGAGGCAGCAAAGTTGGCGAACTGAAGTCTGCTTAGCCAGAAGTTAGGGAGCAGCGTGCTTCCACATGAGAAAGACTTCTGCACAAGTAAACATTCCCGTCACTGTCACGATCGTCCCTCCCGGCCCATCCCGCAACCAGGGAATGAAAAATCAGAGAGACATATACTGTACCCAGAGCGAAGAATTTTTAAAAAAAGAACCGTGACCTCGCTCGGCTCGCAAATGCCATATAAACCCCCGGCTCCACATGCCACGCGCAGACAGGAGAGTGCCGCTGCCCGAGACGCGCGGCAGGGGCAGGAATTATCCGAAAGGCGAGCAGCTGCCGTGGCCCCTTCCCGCCGGCCACATCGCCGTGCCCCGCGCCGCCGGGCTCACTTCGCGCATCCCCGCATCCCGCTCCCGCGGCGGGCGCCTGTGGCACGCCAGCCCCGGCGCTCCATTCCCGGCGCGGCCGCCCCTCCTCCGAGCGCCGCGCCAATGGCGCTGCCCGCCCGCCCCGGCCCGGGCCCACACCCCGCCCTCACGGCCCCGCCCGGGCCCCCCGCCCTCAACTCCGAGCACGGCGGAGCCCCAACCTGGGTGCCGGTGGCTGCCGCGGGGCTGCCCGCACACACAGGCGGCGCTGCCGAAAGGAACCGGAGGGAGAGAGTGCGGTGGAGGTTTCGTACGCAAAAGCGCTGGGGATGCTCCGCGGGGAGCGGGGTCAGGACAGGCCGTGCTCCCCTTGCCGGAAGGCTCGTTTGTTCCACTGCACATCCATCACCGGGATGCTCCGAATTCGCTCAGTCCCACGGAATCATCACTCAGCACCTCGTACGGCCAGCTCATTTGTCCCCCTGTCAGAACGCACTGATCGGCATCAAGCTCCGTACGCTGGGGAGCACTTCCCTGAAATCTGACAGCTCCCACAGGCAGCAAAGAGTTGAAAATGCGCCACACACAACTTTTCGGGAAGGCAAAATCTTACTGAAACTGTGGCAATTACAGTATTAACAGCCAGGAAAGCAGCCTCATTTACCATCTTTGCCCCGAATTCCCTGTGCAAGTTATTCACTTGTGCCCATATGCGCCACCTCCTTATCTGTCTGCCTCCTCCTCTGTCTGCCCTTTGCTTTTGACTGTAACCTACTGGAGTCACATCAAAAGATGGCTGGCTAACATTTTTTTTTAAATGCCTGCCCAGCACAGAATTAATCAAGATGAAAACAGGTTTCCTTCCTGAAGCATCTTGCCAGTCTCAGCATAAATCAAGAGACACGGGCACCAATTAATTAAAGAACAAATTAGTAAAAGTAAAATGAGCTGGTTTTGCACATAGCCTAAGCAGTTTGCCCCTGCAAAGCACCCTCTAATTCTGTTAATTTACAAACTGCAAACTTAGAGTCTAATTATTTCTCTTCATTTCCTCCACAAACTATAAATACACTGACCATACCTGATGCAAGCTTTAGAGAGTAAGAAACTAAGCACAAAACACAAGGGTAGTAATTCCTGCACCATCTGTTTCAGTAACTTTGATGAGTTACAACTTTTCCACTTTTTGATTTCCCTACCTCCAAAATTTGTTTTCTACTTCCCTCTCTTTCCTGCACAATATGAACTCTGCCCCCTTAAAGAAGTCTTCCCTCCCTAGCACATAAAGATGGTCCAATGGAAACAGTTCCCAATACACTGTTAATTTTTCCTGTGGTACCAAACAGTTCTGCCTCCAACCTTTCTCCTTACCTGTATTACAAGTAGACCAGTTTGATAACAGAAACCCAAAAACTATTCAAATATTTTCTATGTTTTCTGTCAGTACACAAAAATGCCTGTGCACGGAGCACCATGTTAAATGGTGAAAGAAAAACTGGGTACAGCTCAGCACACAAATTATGCTGAAGCAGTGACAAGTCAGATAACTGTTATTTAACAAGGGTGCCCATGGTACTGCATTTAACAGAGGAGAGCTTGGCATATTTACTGTAAACCAGACAACTGAAGCCCAAAGGCAGCTCATTGCAATCTGGATAAGAAAAGGGTTAGAAATCACTTGCTTTCCCCTTTCCTGAAGGTGAGAAATCATCAATTCTTAAGAGAATTAAGTCCTTAATACAGTGGAATAATTCATAACGCCCAGATCTAAGGTAGAAGGAAGAGTTTCTAAATGTTTATTTTAAATAAAAATAATAAGCATTAACACATGGTGGATGTATTTCAGATAGATGCAGAAAATGTGTGAGGAAGGCTGAGGTCCTGCACCACCCTTACAATAAAGGGTACTTTTTCTCCAGCCTCTTTTCACCCCATCTTGTAGCACAATGTCCTGGGTTGACTGTATGACACCTCATGGAAATGACAAGTTTTTTAAGGCACTTCAGTGTAAAATGTAGTTCTCAAGTAGTTTCTGTTCTTCCCCATGACAATAACAACAGCTAATTAGAAACAGAGTCATTTAGTAGACAGGCATTACAATCACTCTTCTATTCAATCTTCCACACCAGGAAACCCAGTCAGAATCTCTAGCCTAAATGGGAGATCCTTGAGAAAGCAACGTTGCACCAACAGACTGACTGCAGCATGGATGACATGCTCACATGAGGGAGTGATGTCCTGCACGGGGATTGGGGGAAATCAACAAAAGGAGAAGGGCTGGTGAACTCTACTCTTGCCCATCTGCGGTGTGAAGTGAATGGAAAGGGCATGCTGGGACCTGTGCTGACATTTAAGCTCTTTAACAATAAAGTGATGTGTGAACCAAGAAGAATAAACCTTGGAAGCATTGCATCACTGGGCCATTGTGTCTAAAGGGTGACCAAAAGGACAGGCAAATTAGAGCTTTCACAAAACTTTTTGTTAATGACTGAGCCTAAAATCACAGTGTGGACCTAGTGACCTCTGTTCACCTCTGCTTAACATCTATTTTTTCTCTCCCTAGCTGCATCTCTATATTCCCATCCTGTGGCCAATTCATATTGATTCCTCTACACAAGAAAGCAAGCACTGTGCAGTCTCGCCAGCAGAGGTTCAATTTGTATTGATTCTGGTGGCACGCTACCATTTAGGTTATAACAACTCTGTCCCTGCCACTTTGAGTGGAGTGCTGGTAACCCTTCACTGACTCCAGCCAAAACCCTGGCCCTGAAAGAGAAGAGGCAGCAGTCTCACTCTAATGACACCAGGTGAACTCCAGGCAATAAACTGTAAAAGGCTTGGGCATCAGGGGCAGATCTCTTAACTCTGTTATCCCACACACCCTTTCCCTGAGCAGCCTCAGCTTCGGCTTTCACCTGAAGACACACAGCTGCTTGTTCAGCCCACACTTTGCACCTCACCCTGAGCTGCAGCCACCACAGACCCCACACCACCTCCCTTATTACTTTGAATACCGCTTTCTCTTCTTCCTCCATGATTTAACACACAAGACATCAGTGCCTTCAGCTCATAACAACTGGAGCACTGATTCACCTCCTCATTAATTTAGGCCCATGAGTCCTTTAATGGTTGCACTGGTTTTCCCCCTACTAATGTCTCTTGTCACTGTCTTCAAAGTTCTGCATACCTGCTCCACTCTCCTAATGAAACAACCCACTTTGAATTAACCCCAGTAGACTTTGAGAAGAAGTGATCCACAAAATAAAATTTTAAAGAACCCTGCTAGAAGGTATTAGTGAAATGCACTATATAAAACAGGGTATAGATGTGACAACTGCTCTCATTATGCAACAGAGGAGCGTGCAAAGGCATGCATGTGACAGGTGACATCAGTCCCAGTAGTTCCAGTGAACAACATGACTAAGATCAACCATAACTACAAGAACGGCATCTTTTTGCGAGTTACTAGCTTTAATTCACACCACAGCACTGAAATCAGCTAAGGCTGATCAGCTGGTGAATACACTCCAAATGCCCAACATTTTAATTTCATGTACATGCAGAGATCACCACAGAAAAGTGTTAATCAAACCTGTCTGGCCCTGCCTGTTTTTTTCTTCAGCAACATGCCTGGAGAGAAATCCCTTGTTTCCTCACCCAGTGCACTCTTTGCAGCTACTGTTTGGTTATGTTTGATTCAGTGATGCAGGTTTTATAAAAGTTGTACCTCTTCCAAAAGCCTAAGAGAAACATCTCTTCTGACTGGAGGGTGAACCAAAGTTCAGGGCCAAGCTGGCTGTTTCAGCTAGGAGGAAAAAAAGCCCTGTGATGGAGTCTTTGATTTGTTTGCTTTCATACATTCATTTTGCATGAATATAAATGACTAAAAGACCAAAGCAAAGAGAGTGAGAATATGATTTTTAACCTGTCAGCCTCACACTGCCACAGGTTTTCAGTCTCTGCTCAACCATGCCCAGGACTGTTTAGTGTCTCCATAAGTGACGTAGTGGGATACAGCACACTCTCACCAAATCTGCAGATGCCAGCAAGCTGAGTGGTGCAGTTACCACACCTGAGGAATGGCATGCCATCCACAGGGATCTGGAAAAGCTCTGAAAGTGGGCCCATGGAAACCTCATGAGGTTCAGCCAGGCCAAGTGCAAGGTGCTGCACCTGGGTTGGGCAACCTCCAGTATCAGCCCAGGCTGGGGGATAAAAGGATTGAGAGCAGCCCTGCCCAGAGGGACTTGGGGGTACTGCATGGCCAGCAGGTTGAGGGGTATGATTCTGCCCCTCTGCTCTGATGACAGCCCATGTGGAATAGTACATTCAGCTCCGGAGTTCTCAGTTCAAGGAAGACATGGACCTGTTGGGAGTGGGTCTGCAGGAGGGCCACAAAAGCAATCAGAGGATTGGAGCACTTTGCCTAATGGGAAAGACTGAATGAGTTCAGGTTGTTCAGCCTGGAGAAGAAGAGGCTCCAGGGAGACCTCAATGCAGCCTTTCAGTACCTAAATGGGGCTTAAAGAAAGATGGGGACAGACTTTTTAATAGAAGCGGTAGCCATGGGATAAGGGGTAATGTTTTTAAACTAAAAGAGAATAGATTCAAACTATACATATAAGGTTTGGTTTTTTTTTGCAATAAGGTGATAAAATACTGGAGGAAGTTGCCCAAGGAGGTTGTAAATGCCCCATCCCTGAAGACATTCAAGGTAAATTCAAGCAGCAATCAACAGGTTTACTCCCTCAATCCTGCTCTCTCCTAAAAATTCACATGGTGCAATGAGTCTGCATATGTTGGCAAAGACTTTAAGCGGGGTGCAAGCAGGTCAGGAGGGGAGCCATAAAGCCAGCTCCTGAACCGAATGCCAGACATGTTAAAGCAGCCCCCAAGAAACAGGTAAATCAAGCAATATTAGGTCCACTCTGGGCTGCAGGTCCTTCAGCTCAAAGAGTAGGACCATGGGGCTGTAAGCTGAGGAAATCTCT